CACCGCTCACTACCTCTGCACCTAACGTCACGTATATACTATCTTCTCTACACTGAAAGTACTTTTTAATGTTTCTATTAATATTATAATTTAATCTAGATTCATTTTTCAATAAGAATGCTACAAATAAATAGATCTAACGGTAGAGACAGACACTGCAAGAATAGTCGACAATTCGAAAAAATACTCGACATTGAGGGAATAGATGTTTATCTGAACTAAATTTACTTGTTGAAAAGAGAGAAGTTATTTTTAAACATTTTCTCCTTCGCTTAATCTTCTTTTCTCTAGAACTTTTATACAAATATGCGACCACTTCGTATCACTGAAATAGAGAAACGATCGCAGTCCATAGAGATCTCTATGCTACGGGTATAATTACGGGTTAGTTACGCTGTGGGTTTCGACTGCTCTGACACTTGTAATTACACATATTGTTGTCCTTGTTTTATCAAAGGGAATTTGTATGATGACAATATTTATATGAATGATGCAACCCGCAGTTATATGTTCAATGATATTATTTATTTAAATATATTTTTAAACTATCAAGTATCTAAAGAAGATCGCTTACACAGTAGTACACGATGTAAATTTAATTTTGAAAACTATTAACTATAAGCATATACCCCAGCATAATACATTAATTTTATCGGCCAATAGTTACATAAGTCGGGTTCTTAAACAGTATGAAAATGTATGGAGTTACGTACTCGTACATAACCGTTTTTATATAATTTTAGTATACATAATGACCCGATCAAACAATAGGCCGAAAATACCTGTAGTTAGCGGAGGCTACTAGTTGAAAGGGATGATTTATCATAACATATTTGTAGTGAGACTGAAAAAATTGAAAGTGAAGAAAATAGAAATCTTTAGATAAATCGATCTCAGTATCATTATAATGTAGGTGCTAACTGTATCCATATTGTTTACATGTAATGTTCGTAAGATACGGGTTTTTTTACCACGATTGGGTTGTTTTAGCTCCCGATATTTTGGCACAGTTGCATGCAACATGTTCACGGGCTGACTGAAGTGATGAGTTAGCGTGAAAAAAAAATTGTTTTACGAAGCCTAATTGTCTACTGCAACTGTGCCGAAATATCGGAAGCTAAAACAACACAATCGTGGTAGGAAACCCCATATAACGATCATTATATTTGTAAAAACCACGACACTTTAAAGTTAAAAATTGTTTACATATCTTTAGATACGTGCAAAAATATTAAAAACATGGGCGTTGCATGAGGGGCAAAGGGAAAGATAGGAACTGAAAAATGTAAAACTACTTCGAATAAGACCATAATAATAGTAGCTGCCCTAAACCTGTCCTAAGTTATTGACTGGCGACGTCCATACTCTTTAAAATTAAAAAAAAATGCTCTGGCACTAGCTAGCTGTTATTAGAAAGTAGCCAGTTGTAAAAATCTATGTATTTCAATGGTTTTTTTTTTTAATAAAACACTTAGATATGTGTTAGAATAACTAATTGTTAGTTCGAATAACTTACTGTATAGTTTATAATCAATTCTAATTTATTAACAAACAAATAAACTGTAAGAATTATTTTTACATTAGTTTATGGTTTTTGCATTTTTTTAACAAACATTTCTATGATTTACTGTGATTTTTTTTAGTTTTTTATTTGCACTTGTATATTTCTTAATATTTTTTATATTATTTCCATCAGACTATTTTTTATTTAGGTTATTTGTTATCAAATGTTTGTTATTGTTATAAAAGTAAAAACATTTAGATAATTACGACCTACAGCCACTTCCTGCTTTTAGTAACTAATATTTAAAATATAGATACATACTTAAATGTAAATATTTTGTAAATACAAATATTCATAGGTAAAAAATGCATTTTGATAATATTTTTGGATTTATTTTGTTACAATTCGTGTTACGCACATCACATGTTTTAAAATAATAATGAAATGTTTAACTGTTAAAATATATATGTACCCATTTTAATTTTTTACACTAATTTTAATATTATTAATAGGTTATGTTTAGTTAAATTTAGGAACTACAATAATTGTCACCTCTGTCCACTCTAGGACGCGAAAAACTAATGTTACGATTATGTAAACTGTAGACGAAATATTGTTTGTAAATCACGCTATTAAATGATTAAAATCAACTGAATGTCGCATAATTTATCATATTTATTCTAGCCTGTCAATAAATAGGATATTGAACCTTCAATGATTAATAACACAAATGTTTTACGTAAAACTAAAGTACGAAAATTACTTAAAATGATAACATAAATACATCATTTCCATCACATAAGATGATGTAATAATATTATTTTGTTAACTACGTGCATACTTTAGTTAGATATTTAGGAGTACCTAAACGCTTAAGAGCGTTGGTGGCTCAGGGTTTAAGCACTTGACTTTTAATATACAGGTCTTGGGTTCTAATCCGGCCATGTACCAATGTGATTTTCGATTTTCGAATTTCATATGTACATAATTTACCCGACGTTTTTACGACGAAGGAAAACATTGTGATACAACCTGCACATATCGGCGAAGAAATTAAGATAAGTGTGAAGTCGACCAACCCGCAGTGGGCCAGCGAGTTGACTATGGCCTAGTCACCCTTTACTTAGGGTAGGCTCCGAGACCCTCAGTGGGGCCATATAGTGAGCTGGTGATCGTGCTGATGAAGAAACGCTTCATTCATGTGTTAAAAAACTATGTACTATCCGTAATCAATCACAATTTTAGAGTAATTAATTTGTTTCTGATAAACAGAAGTATCCTGAAATAAGACATGTAAACTTATGTACTCCTTCAGCCGAATACTGAAACAGCTTTTAAATATGCATGTACTCGATAAGTTTCGTTTCAGCATTCAGCTGTTAGACGAGTACAAAGCCATCGACATCATCCTTACATAACTATCAAATTATAATATTTAACTTTTTTTTATATATAAGAAGGGGGCAAACGACCGGCGGGAACACAAAGGTGGTCAACGACGCCCATGGACATCCGCAACACCAGAGGAACTACAGATGCGTTGCCGGCCTTTGAGGAAATTGTAGGCTCGCTTCTTGAAGGACCCTAAGTCGTGTTGGTTTGGAAATACCACCAATTTAATTATTACTTAATTTTATTTAACCTAATCTAAAGATCCAGTCCTAATCTAAAATGTGGACAATACTGAAAATAATTAGTATTGTAAGTCTTGTTTTCGAGATAAAAGAAACATGCACGTATCAGCATAGTAATGTGTGTTACGACAAAAAATGCGTCGACACGGATGCACTTTTGCTAATTAGCATTAAGATAACCTTAGTAAAAAGAAAAATAATATATCAAAAGGTTAAGATGTTTTACAACAATTTGTCAATAACAGTGTTACAAATTACGTAACATGTTTGTATGAAGATTTGCATAGCAATATGCTTGAACCCTTTTTCGTTACACAGGGTGGGATTCGCGCGGAATTAAAACATGTTCTAACAGTAAATATATGGTATGATACTTAGTAATAATTTAGCTTTTCAAAATAATTGAAATCGATCCAATAATTTTGAGTTTAATCGCTGTATACAATACAAATCTTTGCGACGCTCAGTGTTCCCGACATCAAGACAAATCAAATGCGATCACTGTAAGAACTAATTTGTTGGGTGGCAATAACGCGTCATAGGTACACGAGAAAGCCGGACAACATGAGTCTGTGTCGTGTTACGTTTTTACGCTATATCTCAGTAAGGATATTGACCTTTTATCAAGTTTTCGTGTCGCCGAAAATAACTAATTGGGCAATAATTTAGTTCGCAATTATGGCAGCATATTTGCCATATTTCTACTCTTTACTTTGATTTATTAGTTATGTTTGAATACAAGAAAACTCAATTTAAAAACAATTAGAATACTCTGTTGGGTAGACATCGACAGCTTCGAGAAATGAATCTATATTTCACATTTAGATTCCTCATATTTATTGCATCATAACTAAATTCTTTTTTTCTTATTTTTAATAGTGCATACCTTACCTTGCATTACATTACGACAAAATTTTGGTGTTGATCCATCGTTTAATATTTAAGTCCGAAAATTGTAGGAAGCCAGTGTTAATTTAAATAATTTGACTATAAATGTTGTTAGAAAAAAGGGGTAATAACAACCACATGTTTATAGCTCATTAAAATATAATAATTGTTTTGTTTCAATTTACTTATTACCCTTAAGGTTAAAGGACATACATATCTGTGTATGTACGTGCGATTTACGTCAATGCTTCATTGTGTGACCACACCCTTACTATATTCTCATCATTCTTCGTAAATCATTTATATTGTTGATTTAAAATTTCACCACACCTAAGACTTACCGAGTGACTAGCGTAAGTCACTGAGATAGTATGAACTATTGAATGAAATATTTTACTCATATTAAAGTAATAGGAATCTTACTTCTAATATTACAATACAAAACTTTGAATGGATGAATATTTGTTACCATATAACTCTATAAATGCTGCATAATCTGGAAGAATACATCATCTCCCCTGCCTTATCCTACTCCCGTAAGGTCGGCTCACCGGGTTTTCGTCCTTCAAAGCATTTTAATCTGGAAGAATACAGGCTACTAAAAATATTTTCTTTTAATAATTCGCACACGGAGTAGCGGGCTACTTTTAAGAACCATTTTATCTTACTGTGTAATTCCAGAGATGAGACATTTATGTACAAAACAATTTTTTTGTGTCATCCATTTAAGCTAAGTTAACTAGTTCTAAGTTTTCTTTTCTAAATTAAATCTGAAAATGGAACAAGGGCGCTAAGGACCGCCGATCACGAGGTCATAAGTCAAACAAATTAAAGCAGGTTTTACTTCAATAGTTATTGCGTCATTAGCGACAATTATTTTTATTAAAAATCGACGGAAAATAAAAATAAAACGATTACAGAGAAACAATAAAACAACATAAATTTCCATAATAAATAATTTATTATACAAGTAATACCACAACAGCAAATAATTATAACATAGTGACTAGCAATCGATGACAATAGTGCGATCTTCTTCGTCTCTGGAGGCGAATTAA